AGAAACCAGGTTATGTTTAAGTCCATAGTTGAAGAGCTCCAATCCAGGGGACACAAGTGAGAAGGTTTAGGGTATGAATCAGCTTGGCTGGTGAAAACAAAAGGCAAGGGTGGTTGACACAAAGTGAACTGGGAGGCGACAGAGAAGCAGGAGCGGCCTGGTGCAGGCAGGCTATGCTGACCAATCCGCATTCAGGGAGCACAGGAAGCCCCCGGAGTATTTTAAACGTGGAACAAGAGAATCTGATAAATCCCTTCAGTTGTCAATGCAAGATAATGAAAGGGATATGAATGTCTTCTTCCCGTTAGACAAATTAGGATACTGTGCACTGGGAGTGGGGGGCTGGATGACACACTGGCAGGGAATATGGACACAGGGGACCACTCTTTGAAGAAACGAGTGACACGGTCTACTACTGAACACAGGAAGCAGGGCAGGGAAGACAGGAGTTATGGATGCCTCCCATGTGTTTGACGTCCATAAATCTGCCCAGGCAGGGAAGAAATATCTACTACTATGGGTAGTCTAATTTCAGCTGCCTGTAAGATACCCAAGTGGCAGTGGCACAAAGCAAGCATTTGATATATACTTGGAATAACTACCATTTTCAGGATGGTTGACTCACATTTAAATGAAACATATGAAAGAGCATTTTCAAGTTTGATTATATGTCTTTCATTCTTCCAAGGTTATAGCAAAACAAACACTAAATAATGAGTTAACAAAATGATCAGATAGCTCATTTGATGAAATCTATTATTTTTTGGCTGCCACTGTTGCTCTCTGACACAGGTTTTTAACATAAGTATGCTGAATTTGATGTTAGAAATTGTGGACAAATAGTAGTTACTCAGTTCAAGTACTTGACACCATTTCCAAAGCACTCATACACAGTGGAATGGTTGGGCATCAAGTATGAGCTGGGCAGTGAATCACCAAGTCTCTCTCCTTTGTCTTTGTCTTTTCTTTTCTCTTCTTTTTTTTTCTCTCCTTTTCTTTTCTTTCTCCCTTCCTTCTTTCCTTTCTTCCTTCCTTCCTTCCTTCCTTCCTTCCTTCCTTCCTTCCTCCCATCTCTCTCTCCCCATCCCTCCCACCCCCTCTTTCATTTCTTTTCCTTCACTTCCTTTTAAATATTTTATTTATTTTTATTGGAAATGCAGATTTACAGAGAAAGCACAGACAGAGAGAAAGATCTTCCATCCACTGCTTCATTCCCCAAGTGGCCTCAGTGACAAAAGCTGAGCTGATCTGAAGCCAGGAGCCAGGAGCTTCCTCCAGGTCTACCACATGGATACAGGATCCCAAAAGGCTTTGGCCTGTCCTTGACTGCTTTCCCAGGCCACGAGCAGGGAGCTGGAAGGGAAGTGGGGCAGCAAGGACATGACTCAGCACCCATATGGGATCCTGGAACTTGCAAGGTGAAGATTTTAGCCATTGCACTACCAACTAAATCACTTTCACTTAAAGCCAATTCAATGTTATATATAAGGCTACTGGAGACTAAATGTTTGGATGTTTTGAGCTATGACATATATTTTAAACTTTAAGTGTTTTATAATTCATGTTTATTGAGATAATTTACACATTATAAAATACACCTTTTTTAGCCTAAATGATTTGATTGAGTCTTGAAAATGACATAAATTAGGCAAGGACCATAAAAATCAAGACTTTCCTTTCTTTCCCTTCACCTCCAAATTCCTTCTAGTCTTTTTGTGCTCAACTCCTCCCCTCCTGGAGGCATGGTGACCACTGAGCAGAGTTTCACTCCACTGTCCTTCTTTTTAAAGATTTACTTATTTGTCTCTTCAACAAATGGTGTTGAGACAACTGGGTATCAGCTTGAAGAGGTAAGAAGCAAGACCCTTATCTGCCACCTTATACAAAAATCAGCTTTAAATGGATCAGAGACATACATATACACTCAAACCCATCAAGCCATCAGAGCGAAACATAGGAAGCACTTTAAGATACAGGCATTGATAAACTCTTCTTAGAAAAGTCACCAAAAACACAGGCGGTCAGAGTCAAAATAAACAAATGCAACTACATCAAACTAAGAAGCTTCTGTACAGCAAAGGAAACGATCGACAAAGCAAAAAGGCAACCAACAGAACGGGAGAAAAATCTTTGCACACTACACAACAGACAGGGGACTAATATTTACAAAGAGCTTCAGGAACTCAATAGTAACAAAACTAATAACCTTGTTAAGAAATGTGCAAAGGAAATGAGCAGACATTTTTCAAAACGGCAATTTCAAATGACTAATAGACATATGAAAAAAAATGCTCAGGCTCCTTAGCTATTGGGGAAACACAAATGAAAACCATATAGAGGTTCTGCCTAACTCCAGTGAGATTGGCCTACATTCAGAAATCTACTAACAACACCTACTGGCATGGATGTGGGGAAAAAGGTACCTTACTCCAGTACTGACAGGAGTGTAGGTTTGTGTAGCCAGATGGAAGGCAGGATGAAGAGTGCTTAGACAATTGAAAATTGACCTGCCATATGACTCAGCTATCTCACTCCTGAGAATACATCCAAACGAAGTAAAATCTGCATATGACCTGCAATACTATATTTATAGCAATACAATCCATGATAAAGAAGACATGCAAACAACCCAGATATATGTCAGCAGATGAATGGATAAAGAAGCTGTATACATCTACTCCATGGAATACAAAACTGTTAAAAAGAATGAAACAGTACCACCTGCAACAGAATGTTTCCAACTAGAGACAGCTGTACTAACTGCAAAAAAGCTAACCCTTTAAGTATAAATATCATATATTCTCTGATGTAAGTAAAGCAACCAACCTTCATGCCAAATACAAAACAAATAGATACATAGGTCACAAATATACACATTTATTTTCATAGATGAACTGTATAATGAAGACTATCATACTGGAAAGTGAAGGTATGTCACAGTAGGCATCTCTACCCCTGAATAAAAGGAGAACTCCCAGTGAAACAGTTCAATACATATTGACAATATGATACTAAATTTTCTATCTTCATCTATATATACAATGCCATGATGTACTTAAATAGCAGAATGTTAAACTTGTAACTGTTAGTTCTGCACATTATAGTAATAACTTGGGGGGGAAACGGTGTGTGTGGGGGGGAAGGTAAGAGGGAAAAAAAGAGAAGGGAAAGAGGTGAATTCCTGTACTTACAAAAATGTGTTATGGCAAACAATAAAAGTAATTGAAGAAAAAAGATTTTGAGGGAGTACATCCAGTCTACTACAGATGAGTACAGGATTTCTCCTTTTAATACACTGAGAAAGAAAAAAAGAAAAAAAAAAGGCCTCCATTTCCTCCTTGTACAAGAGGATTCCACTAATTGGCAGCTCATTTAGAGCCAAACAAACCAAAGAAGCTGGCTAGATAATGTTCATGTTTCAAATATTTTTTTTTAAACTAACTCAGTTAAAAGTTGAAACATGTAGTTTACATCTACCCATTTCTTGTCATATTCCTTAGTATAACATCAATCTTTTTTCCCCTTCTATTTTTTACAAACAAATTTATGGTGCCCTTAAAGATTTAGAACAGTGGTCGCTTCAGAGCAGGTCCCAGGAAGGCACAGGGGAAAACGTTACGAGGTGATACAAAATGATGTTCTGTGTCTTGAAAGGGGTGTGGTCAAACTACACGCTTAAAGTCTCTGCATTTCACTGCATCAAATTCTATCTTTAAAGACAAACAATCTCCCTGAGTCATGGGAAAATTCAGCTTTTAAAATTCTCATTTCAAAAAGTGATTTGCACAGCAAGCTTGCTGAAGAAAGGCAGTAAGTACATTGATAGATATCTTTCAAAATCATGGCAGCTCAATGCATTTCTGTTAGACCATTCATGAGAATAACATAAACAGTGCCAGAACTTGTCTATCTGCAAAGCAAATACAGAGTTTCCTTTCAGGCTATGCCAGTTAAAGGATTCTGTCTTCAACAGGAACGGGAGTATTATTATTCATGAACTGCAAACACCACTGTGATAGCATATCTACCAACCCGCATTGTCCACTAAAGTGCATCTGGAATTCAATAATAGAATTCCATCCTAAAGACCACAGAGAACTTAAAACTTTCATAGATCAGGAAGATAATGTTGAACAGAGTAAAATAACGAAGTTTTCACCTTTCTATTTTTGTATTCTTTTCCCATAAAACATGATTCTGTATGACATTCTGTCCCCTGCAAACCATATTTGGTAACAGAGTTTTGACAAAAACAACAACAAAAAAGGACTACTGAAAAGCAGTCAACAGGCCTGCACCAATGGCTCAATTGCTAATTCTCCCCTTGCAACCGCTGAGATACCATATGGACACTGGATCGTGTCCCAGCTGCTCCACATCGCATCCAGCTCTCTGCTCATGACCTGGGAAAGTAGTGGAAGATTGTCCAAAGCCTTGGGGTCCCTGCATTCATTGGGGAGATTCAGAAGAAATCCTTGGCTCCTCGCTTCAGATCAACTAAGTTGTTGCCCTTATGGCCATTTGGGGAGTGAACCAGGAGATTGAGGATTTTTCTTGTTGCCTCTCCTTCTCTCTCTAAATCTGTCTTTCTAATATAAATAAATAAATCTCAAAGAAAAAAAGTAAGATAAGGAGTCAATGGTTGGCCCTCTCTGGATTGAAAAGCACATGCTGTCCACTGGGAACCACAGATGTATAGGTACATCAACTGCTAATAGTCAGAGATAGGTTAGTGGTAATCCCCAGGCACAAGGAGGGGAGGGAAAAGGGGCAAACTTAGAGTTCAATGCACAAATGCAAAGCTAATTTCTCACCTCTTGTAGCAAGATGTGACTTCATGACTAAGTTTCAGTTCACCATTAGTATAAAGTCTAGTACCTCACTGCAACACTGAAACATGGTAGTTGCTTTTTACAAATAAACCACCAGCATATCCTGTGAGTAATGGAAGATTCCTGGGAGAGTTAGCCTTCCCTCTTCCTAGTGATGGTCTTACATACCAGATCAGGCTTCACTCTGAGGACCAGAGGAAACGACACCCACATGGAATGCAAGGTGCTGAGCACTGTGGACAGCCAGGATTGCTGAACCTCACGGCTCCTGGGAATTCGATGAAGGTAGTACTGGGCACACTAGAAGGAAACAGAAATCCAGTTCAATTAGGTCACTGATACCAAAGTCAAACGTAGTAGCAGTTAATATTTACAGAAGGAAGAAATGCTTTCTGAGTTAAGTGTTCATTCTCGCTATTCTTGTAAGCTGGAAAGTCTATCTCAGTATTTATATAATACACCTTTCAACTGTCATGAAAAATCCCTAAACATGATTCAGAAAATGTTAGTATCAACAAGTTGAGAGACTCTATAAAACATTTTAAAAAAACAGCTTAACATACAAACATGCAAAGAATTTTTTACAAGGCTACCTGGCTGAAGAGAACTTTCCTGAATCTGCACATGAAAGAAGAGACTATGTGTCACCCCTGGCAAGAACTGGAAGCAGCCCAGGAACTGGGTTCTAGAAGACCTAATGCATTCTCTGCAAAAGAACTGACTAGCAGAGGCATGTTGTGGGATGGTACCTATAGAGCCTCCAGGAAATACACTGGAAAGGCAGCCCTAAGGTAAGAGCACACGATTAGTAGCTGAAGCTCAAGAACCTCTTTTCTGACTTTTGGATGTGACAGGCAATGGTCAACCTCCTTGCCTGAAGATCAAATGCTTAGCTAGGGAGAGAGATCCTAGTTTCCCTGTGTACTGGAGCTAATGGAGCTAGTCAAGGTCACCACATGCCTACGGTGACCAGCCAGCCAGCTGAGAGAGGACGGTCCCAGTTTACACCTGCTGCTTCAGTAGAATTATTAACAGTGACCCATTCTGCTCTAAGAGTGTTCCAATTGAAACAAAACATGTGGTTATCCATAGGGTCCAGCAATGAGTCACCTCCTCCGAGTTCAGGGGAGGCTATTTCCCCAGAACAGCTGAAGTAGTTCATGTGAGGGGAGATTCTACCTCAAGTCAAGGATGAGGCTTTACGTGGCAGCTGGGAAGAAAGTCAAGCTGGAAGTCCTATCAATGAAACTGAGAGGACAGGAAGAGTCCACTCAGTGCAGCTTCTCTGGATTACAGTTTTATTCTAGAGAAGTTGCCAACTTCAAATCTCATCCATGTCTTCTTCATCTCATTATTTTTCAGAGTAAGTTCAAGATACTGGAAATCCTGCCAAGAAGAGATTTCTCTCTAACGCCACCTGCACCTTCACCATCCTGACAGCACAGTCCCCTTGAGGGGCAGCTTTCTGACTAGCTCTTTAAAAAATAACTCACTACTCTTTCATTGCCACTGTCTCCAGCACTTACCCACATGTAACTTTCTGGGTATTTTAAAGCAGCATTTACTGTACTGGCATATAACATATTTATCTTTTTACTGTCCATATCCTCCTTTAGAACATAATTTACCCAAAGAAGCCAGGAACTTTAACCACAGCAATCTCAGTGCTTATCCAAGTATTTAGTTATAGTTGGTCCTCAATAAAGATTTATTGAAAATATCATTCAATAGATCATTATACATTCATATAAATTAATTAATCTTCCTATTACCCACATATGACATACAAAAAGGATATAAAGAAAGTATTTCAGAGTGCCTAGTTATGGTCTTGTTTCCAAGGAACACTCAACAAATAGACTGAACTGAACGGAATTCCTGGGGCTAGAGGAGAACGTGTTGACCTGAGTAAGAAACTAGTATTTGTAAACAGGAGGTGCCAAGTCCTCCTAGGGACTTGGAAGAAAGAAGGAAAGGGGGAGATGAAGCAAAGCTAAATGCCCCCTGGACCTACTCAGGTGTTCCAGGCAGACAGGTCAAACCCCTCTCTGTGAACCTGATCATACAAGGGCCTCAGTGAGCTTCTCCCAGCATCTGTGGGTCTTAGAACACAGGATCCTGAGAGGAGCATCCTGGAGCTCTGAGATATGGCCACAGAGAGGAAGGTGGCTTGCTAGGTTAGAGCAAGTACAGCACTCCATTCTACATCTACAACTCGTAAAAGAAGTCTCTTCTGCACTGATTTTGTATTGTATCTGGCATGCAATTATGAAGACAAGAGGACAGGAATCTGGGGCCATCCCAACAGAAATCAAGTCTTCCGACTAGCTATGCCGCAATCACGGAAGTTGGGTGCTCGGGTATTTGACGACATGTGTCACCTAAAGGAAACATTAAAGCCAGATTACAGCAAAATCTTAAGAGTTTTTCTTATTTTACATAGCTTTAGAAAGTATGCACACACACACACACACACACATATGAACACAAAATACTAATAGCAAACTTGTATCTTAGTAAAAGTTCCTTGAAGACAAAGGAATGGTATAGAAGTTCAGGCCTGCCTATGCCTTTGGCCAGGAATTCCCCAGGGGTGTGACACCTGGAGCAAAAAGACACACTGTGTTGGCTAGTCCGCATGTTTGCTTTACGGGAACTGTCCCTGATGCTCCTTTATGTCCTGTAATGCATGCAGAGATGAGGCCGCTTTAGCATTTTACTATCCAAACTCTGAACTTCCAGACTCACCAGTTGTGACCAATCACAGGAGTAGCCAAGTGATCCAGACAGGCCAGCATTTTCCTGGATGCTCACAGGAAAAGAAGTTTTTTCTTTGAGGGATACTGTGGGCTGCCATGCTCGCTCTCAGTGCATTTGCTGGCACTGACAGAGCATTGTTGTGTGCATACGTAGCCCTTCATCCATTAGGCTTAAAACAGAATGACTGTGTTCACCACCAATGTTGCCAGCCATATCTGTATGTACTGGCTACATGCCGTACCCAAAATGGCGCCGGCCGGAAAAGCCACATCTTGGTGTTTGGTGCAGAGTCACGTAGCATTCACTGTACTGCGCAGGCAGCGCCTGCGCAGTGAGCTGCGGCGCGGCAGGCACGTAAACACTGGGACTGACGAATCCAGTCGCCCAGAACCCTGCGTAATCATGACGCCGACCTATCATCGGCGGAGGCGGGGCCAGACAGCACATAAGAGCAGAAAGCCTGCCGGGGTTCGGCGTCCCTCCTCTTCATGTTGGTGTGCACAATAAATTTTACCGCAGGAGGCTTCACTCGCGTCTGCGTCTTATTGCTGGGCGGTAAGACACGTGGGCGCGACACACCAACATGCATTGCCCCTTCTGCATTCCCAACCCAGTAATCACTAAACAAACAGTGGAGTTTATCATACAATTCCTGCATATACATGAAGACCTGTGTTGGGGCTGGCACTGACAGGAAGGAGAGAAGAGGTTGGTTGACTTCTAACACTGTTACACACACTGCACAGCTGTCTACTTACTCCAGATGTTCCAGTTACCCCTTGATTCAAGTCATCCTTGTGCCTTGACTAACACAACAGTCCCTGAACCAATCTCTTTGTTTTCTCTTGTTCTCCTACAGTTTATTCTCTACAGAACTGCCAGAATCATTTTTTTTCTATAATAGAAAGAAGATACATTTATTCTCCTGCTTAAAACTTTCTAAAGCTTTTCCAGTGACTTAGGATAAAGTCCATACCTCTTATCATTGCTTGCAAGGTTGCAGGTTATGTGGTACTGGCTCATTTCTCCAACCCTTCCCTATCCACTCAGCAGCACTACGCTGGTCTTGTGTCTGTTCCTTGCATGGCACAAAGGGATTTTTCTGTTCATTTCTGCTAAATCTGCTTTACCTTAGATTGTCACATAACTATCTCCTTCCTGCAAATCAAATCTTGTTGGAAGATTATTTCATCACAGGGGAAACAGTTCTCCCCTGACACACGCTCACTAAGACACAAGTTCACTAAGACACACGCTCACTCTCAACCACAGTGTCTTTATTTATTTTGATTTTAATTTCATTTTTAATATTGCTTACATAGTTTAGAGGGATGTACATCCATGTGACACTCCAATTCATGTGGGGAGGGTTGAGGTATGGTGGAAGGTGAATGGTGCAAATGTTTCCTTTTATTTTCCACCTGTGTACACATTCGGGCAAAGGGAGGGAGCAACTCCTTGCTGTCAAATTAGATCAGGACCAGGGATGGGGGTGGGGATGGTCATTTGATTACACCTAAGAGACCCCAATATGGGGAACAATGCTCTAAGGGTGTTGAGTGGCTTTGATAGTTCTGGGACATTGTTGGCTTCATTGCACCAGGGTTGAGAAAATGTTTCCAAGGTCTATTGGCTGACAAAATCCACCTTAGTGCATCCAGGGGCCCAGACACTTGCTGCAAAGCTTGGCCAGCAGAGTGGTCCAACTTGTTCTGCTTTCCATCCTCTGAAAAACCACTTGACATTCTCTGCTGGCATAGATGAGCTGGCTGTTATGTCCCCTGTGTGCAGCTGGGCACGCTGTCCAATGCACAGGCATCAGTGGCTGAGGAGGCTTAGTCCTGATACATGTACTCCAAGGTCGGACCACATATATTGTGATTCTCCCTGGGGAAGGGGTTTGAGTTCAACCATCTAACTGGGTAGTCCTCCAAGAAATCTCTCCTGGTGTAACCTCAGACTACATTCTTGTGTATAATAGCTCCTGCAAGGTAAGGTGCAGTCTGTCACCTGTACCAGCTAACAAACATACTGATGGAAGTAGCAGCCTGGACTGTTCCCAACCTGACATAGGCCCAGTCCTCATGCACACCAGAGGCTGCTGCAGCCTAACTGGGGTGACTCCCGATAATCCCCACCAGGCCTGCCCCAGCCCTGGTTTTTGCATGTGCTGGCATGTGTTGTGGTCTAGCCCGGTCTGTCTTATGGAAGATACCCATGGGTGCTACAGCTTAGCTCAGCCCAGCCTGTTCCCAGACCCAGCCCACACATATGCCAACACATATGCCTACATTTACCAGGCTGGCCCACCCTTAGTCCTTGTTCTCATGCTCATCTGCAGGAGCTGCAGCCCAGAGGGGAGTGCTCACAGTTCCTCTATCAAGCCCGCTGCCAGCCCCAGATCCTGCACCTGCCAGGGGGTACTGTCATCCAATCTGACATGATTTGTACCCAGTCCTGACAGTTGCCAGTGGGTGCTGTAGCCTAACCCAGTGACCTATATCCTTTCTGGCTCTCATGCAAGGCAGTAG